CCAGGATGAAGCTCAATACCACCCAGAAATAAGAAAAGTAGAATTAATAGTTTGCACAAGTATTTTCTGTGAAAGGATGAAGAGCGGCAAACCTTGGACGAATAGCAGCAGCTCGCAGATGGTGTTATTTTTAAGAGCAGAATGAAGTTTGGAAGGAGTGCTGGTGAAGTAATGGGACAAAGATAGGGTTTAAAACGGATACAATGATGGAGTGTAGAAGTGTCTATAAGCTGTTTCATTTGCAGGTGTAGTGGCAAATCGAGCAACAAATATGCATGCAAAGTAACGAGGGTAGCGGTTTGTAGAGTTGAGTGTGGCACTAGATATGGCCGGGAGGGACAGCAGTATGGTACACAGCAGGAGAATTGCCATCTTTAACATATCCGGGGTACACACAGATTAACACACAAGTGGAAAAGAAAAAAAATATACTTGTAGGCCGAGCGCGAGAAAACATCTTGCCGCACTCGTCACACATGCACGGCTTCTTGTCCATGTGCTAGGATTGAACAGCCCCACACCCCTCCAGACAGGGACAGCAGATTTTTGGCTGTAGTAGGCTCGGCTGAACCGCTTGCACCGCCTTCTTTCCCCGCCGCAGGATGGTGCTCGAGCTAGCCCTCCTTGACCTCAGCCCACGACTGGAATGTCGTTTCTTGGCCTCTCGTGTCTCTGCTGCCCGACCAGACGGCCCCACTGAAGCCCACACAAGGGGACTCTTCATTCACGACCCTTGGCCGTCTTGCACATTGTCCTTGAGCCGCTTGTTACAACGACTGCAGCAGCGCCTCCTTGCTCTGGGGCAGCGCCCGCGACATCTCGGGGCAGCCGCAGTGGAGAGAGCGCGACTCTCTCTCAGGGCAGCAGTGGACGGAGCACGGCTCTGCCTCAGGGCAGCAGTGGACGGAGCACAACTTTACCTCAGGGCAGCAGTGGACGGAGCACGCACTAGGCCGCTACAATAACTGGAAGCCTACGGTCTTACCTAGTTTTTCCCGCCGGGTAAAGCTCACCTTACCCGGTAAAGCACGAGGCCGTTACGGTAACTGAAAGCCTACGGCCTTACCTAGTTACGCCTGCCGGGAAAATGCTCACAACCACCAAAACACAAAATAAGCGACACCGTTACACCACAGTAGCAAATCACTACTGGATAATCAATTGGCCACAACCACAAAAATACCACCCACTAACAAAAACCACAACAGCAGGCATAATAACTATAAAAAACAACCACTGCACCTCTCACCCCGACTCTTCCGACCTTGAGAGGCAGGACAGGGAACATCGTAGATTCCATGGAATACAACGCAGAAGTCCCTCTCGTCGCGGCTATGAAGTTATGAAGCTGCTGAACTACATTTGCTGAGGGTGGCCTCTAAATGAAAATCCAGAATAGTTGACTTTTCGGGCAATGGGTCCTTACAACACACAAGTATTATAATCACGTCTCACTCTCACACGGCTCACACACACGAAAAGGAACAGATCGATCCCAATCCCCAAGGTCACGAATGAGAAAGAACTTAAGTACCTCGGTATACCTCGGTAAATGGAGACCAATAACGATTTTGTATGTATGATCCCGAGCTTGTTCGCTAGGATTCTGACAGCGAGGCCTGGAACAGGCCTGTCCTCTGAATGCTCGACAACGTGGATTCCCAGCTGCACCAGGCTGCTCGGAACATCTTAAGGTGTTGCAAGGCCTTATGAAGCATGTAAAGATAACGCGCAAGTCGCTTGCAGTGTAGTTCGTTGACGTAGCAAAGGCGTTTGATTCCGTGTCCCATGCCCACATCTTGTGGGGTTCTGAGGTACATGATAGTCGATGAGCACATGGTTGGCGTCATTCAAAACGCCGATGAGAATGCCACGACATAATTTGAGATCAAAGGGGTCTGGACACCAACACCAGACATCAACAAAGCTGGTGTGAAGCAGGGCGACGCCATGTCATCCCTGATATTTAACCTATGGACCCGCTATAAATATACGGAGTTGGATATTCAATCGAATCCAACAGTTACTTCACTCGCGGATGCCGATGATCTGGTGCTAGTGAGTAAATTCTGAGGAAATGGCCACAAATATCGGCATCCAGGAATACTTATGCAAATTAACTGGGCTAGTTGTTCAAGCCACGAAAACTCCATGGCTTTATGCTTACTCCAACGAAAGATTCATACACAGTCAACAATTGTAGGCCATGGAGTGTCTGTGATGATACGCTCCACTTGATGAGGCTGTAAAATACCTGGGTGTAAACATCAGTCCATGGACAGGTATTTTAAAATACAGGTATGGCAGTGCAATTGAAGGACTGGATGTCCAAGATTGATGAAGCTCCACTTAAACTTGCGCAGAAAGTGGATGTACATGTACAGGCACACCCCGTTTAGCGCTACTGCGTACAGCACTGATTCGTTATAGAGCTATTTGTTTCTCAGGCAAATTTTTATTGTAACAAAATATATACGGTGTTTGTTACAAAAAAAACATTACATACTTAACGTTCAGTAAATTTAAATAAGGATGAAAAGCCGTGCTTGAGCTAGCACGGTGGAGGCTCTCGCTCAAATCCTGTTCAGTATTAGCGCCCTTTCACGCTCTCCAACCACAGGCAATGAGCGAGCGCTATCATAGTCGAGTTGGCGCGTTGTTCGCTCTCCGCCAATGAGCGCTTCCCTCTAAAACCGGGGTGGGGTGGGGGCCGTGGAAGCCAAGTCACAGATTGGACTGCGCCACTGGGCGGAAGCTGCAACTCCCATCTTGTCTCCCAGCGCTGCCAAGTTCACCATATCGGGGTCGCACCATGCACTGGTGAGTAGACTGTTAATGTTATTTCAATTTTTTGCACCATTAACAGTATTTATAAGTCGTGTTTAGCATCCATAATATTGTTCCAATAACCAAATGAACCCCTAATGTGTTGGTCGAACTCTTTGGTTCTTTTGGTAAAGTCACTTAGAAATAAAGTAAAACAAATCACGTCGTTTTGATTGCAACACAAGTGGGCGAGAGAACTGCCGTGGCAAGAGGTTATATAGTTAAGAAGGGGGGAGGGGCAAGGGGGGAGAGAGAGAGGGGGGGGTAAGGGGAGGGGAGCGCTGCGTGAGAGCGAGGAGAGGGGACGTGAGGCTGGGGGGGGGGGGGAAGTGGGTGGGGCTGGAAGTGGGAGACCGAGAAAGCTGGGGATGCGGGGGGAAATTAACTCGTAAAAATAGACTAGTACCCGGCAGATATGATAGACACAACCATAAAACAGTTACGGATTTACCTGGTTAATAAAATCCTTCCAATGAATGCTCAATTTGTATCCATCTTCTTGGTTGAAGTTACGTCTAAGTTTATAAATCTGGATGGCTTCATGAACAAACCTTTGATAGTAGCCAGAAGGTTTGCAGAGTACCTTGGTCTCGGAAAAAAACAATATGATGAGAGCCCACAGCGTTATAGAAATGGTCAGCCACGGCAGAGGTATTGGTTCTGCCGTGTTTCAGATCTGCCTTGTGTTTGCGGACACGGTCCGAGACTTGTCGTTTCGTTTCCCAAATGTAACTGCTACTGCAGGTACAACTCAGTTTGTAAACTCCAGAATACTGCATGTCAGGAATGACATCCTTCACAGATGAGATTAGATCACGGATTTTGTGTACTGTATTGAATCGGACCTGGATTTTGTGTTTGTTTAAGATTTTGGAAATCTTTTTGGTAACACCTGCTGTGTATGGTAACATGATGGTTTTGATCGCCTTCTCAGGGGATTCTCCATGGTTGGAGAAACAGCTTTGCGAATAATGCAGTCCGAGTACCCATTCATCTTGAGGGCCTGGTGTACGTGTTCCAGTTCACTGGCTATGTGGTGTTGGTCGGAAATGCAGAGGGCCCTATGGTGTATTGTTTTGATGAGGGAATTCTTCTGTGCCAGATAGTGGTGGGAATCAGGTTTCAGATAGGAATCTGTGTAGATGGCTTTCCTGTAGACAGAGTATCCCAACGAGCCGTCAGGGCCTCTTCTCAAACAAAACATCCAGGAATAGTAGCTTACCATCCTTCTCCACTTCCACGGTCAATTCGATGGATGGGTGTATGGAATTGATGTGGTTGAGAAAGTGGTTCAAAGCTGGCAGGCCATGTGGCCAAATGACCAAAGTGTCATCTACATATCTCTTCCAGAAGGAAGGACGTAGGGTGGATGTCTGGATGGCATCTGTTTCAAATTTCTCCATGAAAACATTCGCTATAACTGGTGATAAGGTGGAACACATGGTGTACCTTCATTTTGTTTGTAGAAAGTATCATTCCAGGTGAAGTAATTGTTGGTAAGGCAGTGCCTAATCAGAGTAGGTACATCAGGATTCAGTCCATGTTGGACTAAGTCTTAAATTCTTGCTAAGTTGTCAGGTACAGGAACCTTGGTGAACAGAGGAACTACATCAAAGCTGATGAGCAAATCATCTGGGGACAATGAAATGCCCTTGATTAGAGAGACCAAGTGAGCTGAGTTACATACTGCTGAGGTAGTCTTGCCTGCAAGGTATCAGACAGAAAATGGGCCAGTTTGTAGGTAGGTGAGTTGATAGTGGAAACGATGGGCGAAGTAGAGTACCTTCTTTATAGCTTTTTGGAAGACCATAAAATCTGGGTGGTCTAGTAGCAGAAGGTTTTAGGGAGAGCCGTTTGAATGGTTCGATTAGAGAAGTCGAACTGGTAATGATATTGTTGGTTTTTGTAGCCAGGCGGTTGGTAGGATCTTTGTTGATTTTGGTGTAACTGCCATAAATGAGAAAGTCCTGGATTTTGTTGTTGTATGTGGTTTTATCCATGATGACAGTTGCATTGCCCTTGTCGGCTGAGAGGGTGACTATGTCATCTCTCTTTTTCAATTTGGCGAGTTCAGAGCGCTCGTTTTTGCTGATGTTACTAATGGGTTTCTTAGCATTAAAAACAAAAAATATTGCTGCGGTTTTCCCACCTGATGATGATTGCTTGTGTTGCAATCAAAACCTCGCGATTTGTTTTATTTTAATTTATTTCTAACTACGTGACTTTACCGAAAGAACCAATGAGTATGGATTCCTGCAGTCACGAAAGCTTCAAATCAAGAGCATTGGTCGTAGGTGATAAATTACAATGTCAGAAACACATCTCCATAGGGCCTATGCTATGACCCCGTTTCTAGCGCCCATTCACCAAGCGCTTTCCAGGAACACATCTCCCGTGCTAAACGGGGTATGCCTGTACCCCCCCGATTCATCTACCCAGCAGATCGATCATTGATATTAGAAATCCTCTACTCTCCTCACGCTAGATCAGGAGATTATAAATGGGGTAAACCGACTGTTACACCTTTCTGCCTCCACCTGTGATGGGGTTTTGGACTCTCGGACCTGAGACGGAGGTCTAGGCATTATTAAACTAGAGAGAATGATCCCATCGGTTAATTTGAGGTGTAAAAAAATCCTCGGACGAGGTCACCCGCAATATCGTGTCCACTCAAGGTGGTGAGGATTCCAGACCCGTGGGTATGGGCCAGGAGGAGACACAAATGCCATATCCCAATATGAGCTAAGAGGGGTGGAATTTCAAGGCACCAAAAAAACCCATTTTGTCGATACCATGCGACTGGAGGCAGCGTGAAGCTTTGAAGATGGTGTGAAAGACCAGTTGAAGGTATAGGTACTGTGAACTTTGCAGAGGATAAAGTCAGTAATGCGTGGCTTCAGAGTGCCACTACATCGCTGCATTAGAACTGCGGAGTAATATATACCCAATAAGAGACAGCCTGAAGAGAGGCAAGGAAGGAGCACTGTGGTCCTGTAGGAAATGCTCGCCGCAACTTGAATCCCTTTCACACATACTTGGACAGTGTCCAGCGGTCCAGAAAGCCAGGAATGCACTCCGCAATAAAATGTGACACCTTGGCAGTAGAAGCGGTGGAAATGGGTTGGTCGATCTATAAGGAGCCCTATTTGAGAACTGATAAAGGTGATCTATGGGAAACTTGATCTGTTTTTTGCCAGAGGTGACCACACACTCGTAATTGATGTGACCGTCAGGTTCGAGCTCTCCTGTAGCTCCTTGGCTGAAGCCGCATCTGACAAAGTTGCATATTGTTGTCCTTTTCGAGAGCAGGTCATGGAGCTTACCAAAACCGAGCATCAATTTTTATATATTCCCAGTGGGGGAAAGAGGAAGGTGGCATCTTGGGAATAATGGAGTTCTCACCTCCATTGGATTTACAGGCTCACAAATAACCGCGGCAAAGTTATGCCAAGGGTGCGTCTTGTCTCCACTCCTGTTTGTGATTTTCATGGGGAGGATATCAAGGTGCAGCCGAGGTAGGGAGAGTATCCAGTACGGGGGGGCATGGAGGCGGAGTCGTTGCTTTTTGCAGATGACGTCACTTTGTTTAGATATCATTTGTATTAGCCAGGTCGCTTCTGAGCAATTAGTAAATAACAGTGGGCTTTGCCTGGTAGGATGGGGATGGTTTCATTTAATTTGTATGTGTTTGGGTGATTTCTTTACCTGTCTTGTACTGTGTTCTCCTATCGTGTTTGTGTGTACTGTGTATTGTTGTTGTAACGGTATGACCCTCGTGCCCCTACTGGACATCTGTGAAGAGAGCTTTATAGCTTATCGGATTCCTCCTGCCGTGTAAATAAATATTCGGATTCTGAGATATAATTGGTACTATGAGCCCTTACCATCCCACAGCATGGAGCACGCACAGCCTCTGACACCAATTGAAAACAACCTGCTGTGTAGATAGGAGGCTTCTTGATCCTCATATCCAAGCGGTGTAGATATCTCCACAGCCAATCGATTAACCCAGAGCTATAAGTGACTAGTGGTGCAGCTAACTGGTTAGTCATTTGCAATTAATTTCGAGCCGTTGAAGATTTCTTGGTAGCGTCTTTACCCTTCCGATATATTCCTCACTGACTAACTGCTCCCCCGCATGTCTGCCAATCTCCACTGTGTGGTCCCCATGTGCACCACTCACAAAGGGCTTGACAAATCAAAACTACTCCCGCTCACCGATCACGCACGCTCCCTTTCCCACGTGTGTCTTCATGTGATTCTTCAGGGTCGATGATTGCCTGAAGTCCCTCTCGCACACAGGGCACTTGTGCGGCTTCTCTCCCGTGTGCGTCTTCATGTGGCTTCTCAGGGATGCGGTGTAGACGAAGTCCTTGCCACACATCGAGCACTTGTGCGGCCTCTCTCCCGTGTGTGTCAGCATGTGGGTCTTGAGGTCTGCGCGATGCACGAAATCCTTCTCGCACACCGAGCACTTGTGCGGCCTCGCCCCCGTGTGGCTCATCACGTGGATCCTCAGGACTGCGTACGGCTTGAAGGCCTTACCGCACGCCGAGCACTTGTGCGGCCTCTCCCCCGTGTGGTTCATCATGTGAGTCTTCAGTTCCGACGGGCGGAAGAACCCTCTCTGGCACACGGAGCAGCGGTGGCTCCACTCCCCCGTGTGGCTCTTCACGTGCCTCCTGAGCTGCGTCGACTCATTGAACCCCTTGCCGCACACGGGGCACCGGTGCGGGCTCTCGCCTGTGTGCATCGCCATGTGGCCCCTGATGGCCGACGGGCGACTGAAGCCCTTGCCGCACACCAGGCACCGGTGCGCCTTCTCACCGGTGTGCGAGGCCGCGTGGTCCTTAAGGTGGGACAGGCGGCCGAAGCCCTTCCCGCACACGGTGCACACGTGGGGCCTCTCGCCCGTGTGGATCATCGCGTGGACCTTCAGCGCGAACGGGCGCCCGAAGCCCTTCCCGCACACGGTGCACATGTGGGGCCACTCGCCCGTGTGGATCATCTCGTGGTTCCTCAGCTGCGTCTCCTTGGCAAACCCCTTCCCGCACACCGGGCACTCGTGCGGGCAGTCGGCCGAGTGGACCCTCATGTGGTTCTTGAGGTTTGACACGGCGACAAATGCCCTCTGGCACACGCAGCACTTGTGCGGCTTCTCTCCCGCGTGGCTCATCGCGTGGTTCCTGAGGTCCGACGGGCGGACGAAGCTCTTGCCGCACACCGAGCAGCCGTGCGATTTCTCTCCGGTGCGGGTCGTCGTTGTCGCGGTGGCAGTGGCGGTTGTCCCGGTGGATTTTTTCGCATGGGAGAGCGTTTCCGGGGCACCGTCCACGATCATCCCTGTCACACAAACGTTCAGACCGTTGTTGTTTTTTTTTTCCCACACCGATTGGCGTCACGCCGTGAGACGGAAGAATCCGTTTGGATGCCGCCCCCCCCCCCCTTCCTCGCAGAGTTAACATGAGAGAAAGGCCCATGGAAGCAGTTATCACCAAACCTCTGATCTAGCACGTGGAAAGGCGAAGCACTTCCCCCACCTGCCCTGCCACGTGAGAGTAACGTTTTTTTCCTGATGGTAAATCCAATATTTACATTACCAGAGATGTAGTGGGACCAAATTAATTGTTGTAGACCCACATTTTAACCTCTTGAACTGCTGTTGTTGTTGATGCAGTCATTGGTGAGGGGGCTGTGAACATCAACCTACGACACTTAAACTAAATTAAACCATTTTTTTTATTTTACCAGGTAAGGCCACAATAAGTGACCTGCCTATCACAAGTGATAGCGCAACGAAGTGGCTTATCATCATGTGGATAATACATAGCTACCAAATACTTTCAACGTGTGACGTTCATTCTAGATGTGGAGGGACGAAGCAGAGGACCGGGTTAAAAATCCATGCAACCACAGAGAGAGACACGCAAACTCAAAATATACAGCAGGCATCAGTGTCGGGATCAAACCCACAACCTCATGTATATCAGGCGAGGGAGTTAACATTTCTAAGTCACCACAGCACCCCCAAACATACACATGGAGCTCCCTTGTACACTTATCACTTAAGTCCTCCAAAGCCATCTCCATCTCTCCACCACTTCGACAGCTTGGAGAGGCCTCTGTACCAGACCTCACCCCTCACAGCGACCAAGATCCATCGGAATTCCCTCCCCTCCCCTCCCTCACCGTCACCATCGTCGTCGTCGCCCACCTCCACTTCGATCTCCGCCACGCCTGACGATCCCAAACAATCCCCCCGCGACTCTCCAGGTCTCACAGATGAACCGTCGCCAGCCAGCGGATCTTGAGGGTCGACCTCCACAATGTGCAGGTCCCTTCCTTCGACCTCCCGCGTCTCTCGTTTGACCTGAAGTTCTCGGCCATCCTCCTCTCCGGCACGCACGTCCGCCCCTTCGACCGAGAGATGAAACATCGCAGGCGAACCATGAACAGGTTATATACCTACGGGGTACCTTTTTTGCTGCCAGAATACAAAAAAAAGATGAAAATAAAAAATAAGAAATTAAAAATAACCCTTTCTGGCAATAATAAAATTGGAGTTGTGTAAAGATGTTCAAATACTGGAGAGATACCTTTTCGCAAGGCATCAAGTCTGCATTAACCATACATACTCGTGTCGATGCATGTGTGGTGTAATAGCGCCGTCTCTTGTCCAGCAATGGCAACTGCGGTGGCCGAGCAGTACACACGCCGGTGAGCATATACGCGGGTGTGTCGCCAGGGCGGAGGAACTGGGGCAAGGGTCAGGGAGGACCCCATCTGGAAGCCCCTGGAACCCGCTCGTGAGTTTGAGAAAGGAGGCGTGGCCAGGGCAAAGCCAGGCCGTGGTGGAGAGTTTGGAATCTGATTGATTGATTGCTTCTGTGGACAGGTGTATTTTATACAGGTAACAAGCTGAGATTAGGAGCACTCCCTTTAAGAGTGTGCTCCTAATCTCAGCTTGTTACCTGTATAAAAGACACCTGGGAGCCAGAAATCTTTCTGATTGAGAGGGGGTCAAATACTTCTTTCCCTCATTAAAATGCAAATCAATTTATAACAATTTTGACATGCGTTTTTCTGGATTTTTGTTGTTATTCTGTCACTCACTGTTCAAATAAACCTACCATTAAAATTATAGACTGATCATTTCTTTGTCAGTGGGCAAACGTACAAAATCAGCAGGGGATCAAATACTTTTTTCCCTCACTGTACGTATGTGTGTGTACGTACGTGTGTGTACGTGCACATCACTACGTACGAGTACGTCATCAAAACAGAGCCGAAAAAAAGCTAAAAGTGAAATAACTTTTATTGGTACCGAGGCTCCCGCCGACAAGGCCACACAGGAGGGTTGTGTTGTGGCACCGCTTTTGGCGCCATCTGTCGAAGAGTGGCGGCGGTCGTGTCGCTACGGTTATCTGCGGTGAGTAAACAACTTCATTAAAATTGCACAACGGCACTCCTAGTTCTATGACTCTCTCTAAATGTACACGTGTTTGTATTTGTTTAACTTCATTTGCACCATCCATACGTAGTCAACCGTGCTATTTGAAGGTGGGGGAGGGGGGAAGGACAACAAACTAAAGCACAAACCACAAGCAGTTCTAAAGAAGTTAGTTTTCAATGTTAGCATATTGGTTTAGTGTATATTATTGTAGTGTATACTAGTGTAGTATAGTGTGTAGTGTATAGAAGTCTAGTATTTAGTAGTGGTGTGTAGTAGTATATAGGGTAGTAGTTTATTGTATTGTATATTGTGTAGTGAATATAGTAGTGTAGTGTGTAGTAGTGTATAGGGTAGTAGTGTAGTACATAGTAGTCTATAATAGTGGTGTGTAGAAGTGTAGTGTGTAGTAGTGTAGTGTGTAAATCTTGACTTAAAGCTTTTGTGACTGCAGTTCTCCTGCTGTATTTTTTCACCTGATGACGATTGCTTGTGTTGCGATGGAAACGTCGCGATATTTTTAAAATTATTTTTCTATCTACGTGGCTTTACCGAAAGACCCAAAGAGTCGTATGGTGTGTAGTGGTGTGTAGTAGTATCGTTTGCAGAAGTGTAGTGTGTAGTAGTGTATAGGTTAGTACTGTAGTGTAGTATATAGTAGTGTATAGTATTTTAGTGTGTAGTAGTATTGTCTACAATAGTGTGTAGTAGTGTATAGGGTAGTAGTGTAGTGTAGTATTGTAGCATATAGTATTGTAGTGTGTAGTAGTGTATACGGTGATGAATGGGGACAACCCACCCACTCCACCGCACTAACCCACCCACCCTCACCCTGCGACTTGCAGTCGTCTCAGAAACGGGGAAAAAGACTGGGCGGGGAAGGGGGGTGTTAAGAGGAACATTTCATGTCGATCTGTCAAACGAGTCGGCTCACAGGGCACATGGGCGGTCTCTGCTGGGTTGGGGGAGACAAATTCTCACCGTGGTCGTCGCCGCCGCTCTCCTCCCCCTGCGTCTCCACTTTCACTGCCAGCCAGATCCTACTGCCAGCCTCTCCGTCGTCGTCGTCGTCTTCTTCTCGCTTAATGAATGACTCCATGGGCGGAAAAGGGGGCTCTTCACCACCACCACCTCCTCTACCACCTCGTCGTCGTCCGTCCCAAGGAAGAGGTGGCAGTATGGGGGATTCCTGCTGCTGCTCCTGCTGCTCACCGAGAGATGGCAGAGCGAGAGAATAAACAGCGAATCTTGACTTATAGCTTTCGTGACTGCAGGAATTCATGTTCTTTGGGTCTTTCGGTAAAGTGACGTCAATAGGTTCAAAGAAAATAACAAAAAACTACGACATTTCGATCGCAACACAAGCGGTCGTCATCAGGAAAAGGGGGTTAGCCTCTAAAGGGAAACTGTGTATAGAGGTTTAAAATGGGCGTAGCCCAAGTGTCAGCAGCATGGACGGGGCAGCTGATGTTAATGTGAGTGATGTTAATGCGAGTGGTGTTAATGCGAGTGATATTAATGTGAGCGGTGTTAATGCGAGCGATGATAATGCGAGCGATGTTAATGTGCATGATGTTAATGTGAGTGATGTTAATGTGAGTGGTGTTAATGCGAGTGATGTTAATGTGAGTGGTGTAATGCAAGCGGTGTTAATGCGAGCGGTGTCAATGCGAGCGGTGTTAATGTGAGTGATGTTAATGCGAGCGATGTGAATGTGAGTGATGTTAATGTGAGTGATGTTAATGTGCGTGATGTTAATGTGAGTGGTGTTAATGTGAGTGATGTTAATGCGAGTGATGTTAATGCGAGTGATGTTAATGTGAGTGATGTTAATGCGAGTGATGTTAATGCGAGCGATGTTAATGCGAGCGGTGTTAATGCGAGTGATGTTAATGCGAGTGATGTTAATGTGAGTGATGTTAATGTGCGTGATGTTAATGTGAGTGGTGTTAATGTGAGTGATGTTAATGCGAGTGATGTTAATGCGAGCGGTGTTAATGCGAGTGGTGTTAATGCGAGTGATGTTAATGCGAGTGATGTTAATGTGAGTGATGTTAATGTGCGTGATGTTAATGCGAGTGGTGTTAATGCGAGCGATGTTAATGCGAGCGATGTTAATGTGAGTGATGTTAATGCGAGTGATGTTAATGCGAGTGATGTTAATGTGAGTGATGTTAATGCGAGTGATGTTAATGTGAGTGATGTTAATGCGAGTGATGTTAATGCGAGTGATGTGAATGCGAGCGGTGTTAATGTGAGTGATGTTAATGCGAGTGGTGTTAATACGAGTGATGTTAATGTGAGTGATGTTAATGCGAGTGGTGTTAATGCGAGTGATGTTAATGCGAGTGATGTTAATGTGAGCGGCGTTAATGTGAGCGGTGTTAATGCGAGCGGTGTTAATGCGAGCAGTGTTAATGCGAGCGATGTTAATGCGAGTGATGTTAATGTGAGCGGCGTTAATGTGAGTGGTGTTAATGCGAGCGGTGTTAATGCGAGCGGTGTTAATGCGAGTGGTGTTAATGCGAGCAGTCTTAATGTGAGTGATGTTAATGTGAGTGGTGTTAATGTGAGTGATGTTAATGTGAGTGATGTTAATGTGAGTGATGTTAATGCGAGCAGTGTTAATGCGAGTGGTGTTAATGCGAGTGATGTTAATGCGAGCGATGTTAATGTGAGCGGTGTTAATGCGAGCGGTGTTAATGCGAGCGATGTTAATGCGAGTGGTGTTAATGTGAGTGGTGTTAATGTGAGTGGTGTTAATGTGAGTGGTGTTAATGTGAGTGGTGTTGATGTGAGTGATGTTAATGCGAGTGATGTTAATGCGAGTGGTGTTAATGCGAGTGGTGTTAATGCGAGTGATGTTAATGTGAGTGGTGTTGATGTGAGTGATGTTAATGTGAGTGGTGTTAATGAGAGTGATGTTAATGCGAGTGGCGTTAATGCGAGTGGTGTTGATGCGAGTGGTGTTAATGCGAGTGGTGTTAATGCGAGTGGTGTCAATGCGAGTGATGTTAATGTGAGTGGTGTAATGCGAGCGGTGTTAATGCGAGTGGTGTTAATGCGAGTGGTGTTAATGCGAGCGGTGTTAATGCGAGCAGTGTTAATGTGAGTGATGTTAATGTGAGTGGTGTTAATGTGAGTGATGTTAATGTGAGTGATGTTAATGTGAGTGATGTTAATGCGAGCAGTGTTAATGCGAGTGGTGTTAATGCGAGTGATGTTAATGCGAGCGATGTTAATGCAAGCGGTGTTAATGCGAGCGGTGTTAATGCGAGCGATGTTAATGCGAGTGGTGTTAATGTGAGTGGTGTTAATGTGAGTGGTGTTAATGTGAGTGGTGTTGATGTGAGTGATGTTAATGCGAGTGATGTCAATGCGAGTGGTGTTAATGCGAGTGGTGTTAATGCGAGTGATGTTAATGTGAGTGGTGTTGATGTGAGTGATGTTAATGAGAGTGATGTTGATGTGAGTGATGTTAATGTGAGTGGTGTTAATGAGAGTGATGTTAATGCGAGTGGCGTTAATGCGAGTGGTGTTGATGCGAGTGGTGTTAATGCGAGTGGTGTTAATGCGAGTGGTGTCAATGCGAGTGATGTTAATGTGAGTGGTGTTAATGTGAGTGATGTTAATGCGAGTGATGTTAATGCGAGTGATGTTAATGCGAGTGGTGTTAATGCGAGTGATGCTAATGCAAGCGGCGTTAATGCGAGCGGCGTTAATGCGAGTGATGTTAATACGAGTGATGTTAATGCGAGTGGCGTTAATGCGAGTGATGTTAATGTGAGTGATGTTAATGTGAGTGGTGCTACTCGTAGAGGGCCACGACGGCACTGGTAGTGGGTTTCCGGAACCAGCATAGTGGAGCGGAGCGGTGAGGGCCCTGGAACCAGCATAGCACCCGTGGTGGCGGGGCCCTGGAACCAGCATAGCACCCGTGGTGGCGGGGCCCTGGAACCAGAATAGCACTCGTGGGATTGGTTGATGGGTGTTTCGAAGCGAGACGCGGGAGGCGAGATGGAGGATGAGAAGCGGCACTTAAATGGTTCGGCTTTGACGATGGCTAGGGGGGATGTTAACTACCTCTCCATGTATGCAGGAGGTCGTGGGTTCGATGCCACGGCCTGACGATGCCTGCTGCTATATATTTGGAGTTTCTCTCTCCGGGTCCTCCGGTTTTTTCCCCTTCCACATTTAGAATCACGCGTTTAGAGTTATTTGCTGCTTTAAAGCTTTCGTGACCGCAGGGATTCATATTCTTGGTTCTTTCGGTAAAGTCACCGCGTAGAAGGGAAACAATACAATAATAAAAATATAAAACAATAAAAAAATCTCCCGATGTTTCGTCTGCAACACAAGCAATCATCATCAGGTGTGAAAACCAAAGCAAGAAAATTTGAAAAAAGTGGCGTTTTTTTACGTTATCTCAGTCAGTCGACCCGTGGCACCTGCTGGGTCTGCCCCGTGACCTTCTGCCAGCGGGTGTTCGACACTTCACGTGGCCTCAATGTGCACATAGCCTGGCACAAGCGTCGTGGTGACGTCAACGCCACTTAGTGGCGAATGGCGCTTGTTGTTGTGTGTGTCAGTCCATGTGTGTGTGTGTCAGTCCATGTGTCTTTGTAAGTCCACGTGTGTGTGTGTAGGTCAATGTGTCTGTGAGTCTATGTATGTGAGTGTTTGAGTCGATGTGTGTGTGTAACTCCATGTGTGTGTGTCTAAAGTCGATGTTTGTCTGTGTGAGTCCATATGTGTCTGTGTGTCAGTCGATGTGTGTGTGTACGTCGATGTGTATGCGTTTGTCAGTCCATATGTGTGTCTTAGTCGATATGTGTGTGTAAGTACGTGTCTGTTTACGTCAATGTGTGTGTGAGTCCACGTATGTCTGTGTGAATCGATATGTGTGTGTGTCAGTCCATGTGCATGTGTGTTAGTCGCTGTATGTGCGTGCCTCCATGTTAGTCAGTGTAAGTCCAATTCTTTGCGTGTCTGTAGGTCCATATGTGCGTGTTAGTCCATGTGTGTGCTTTATTGACCTGGTCACGGCCTATGATACCATCAGTAGGCCTGGGCTCTGGGTTGTTCTTCGTGCTTTCCGAGTCCCTGACCCACTGCGCACGATCCTTAAGAACCTTCATGATGGTGAGCGGCCCCGCGTCAAACTACGTTGGCCGTGAGTCAGAACCATTCCCTCTACACCTTGGGGTGCGACAGGGATGTCCTCTGGCTCCCACATTATTTTACATATATTTGGACCACGCCATTCGTGAAGCCTTTAATGGCTGTACCGGAAGAATTCCCATCTGCTACAGATACAATGGGAGGCTGATCGATGCCCGGGTGCGGTCAAGGGATGGCTCCCTATTGCTCAACCACGTTATGTATGCCGATGATCTGGTAATTGCTCTTGACTCGGAGGAGGAGTAGGAGGTGCTGCTGCTGAACCTGGAGCTTGCCACCAAGACGTGGGGCTTTACCATCAGCCCCACCAAAACTAAGCACCTGCCTGGGTATTTTGTACCATCGGACACTCCACCCTCACAACTCCAAATTGGTGATCGGGCAGTTGTGGAGAGAGTGGAGAGTTTCCCATACCTTGGCAGTGTGCTCATGACCGGCTCCGGTTTAACAGCAAAGGTCTCGCTTCCAATCAGTCGAGCGGCATTATATTTTCATCGGTTGAGTAATGCTGTGTGGAAGCTACCTGGTCTATCACTCCGCACGAAGCTTCAGGTCTTCTCGGCCACGGTCATTCCCTCCCTTCTCTATGCTTGCGAAACGTGGACCCCCCAAATGGAACATCTTCACTGGTTAAAAACATTTAGGCTGGCCTGCCTATGATACATCCTGGGTTTAACAATGCTGGATTGTGTGAGGAGCTCACAAATCCTTGAAATATGTGGACAAATTCCCATCGGTGAGCTCTGGCAGCCAAGGCTGCGCTGGCTGGCTCATGTAGCCCGCATGCCCAGCCACCGCATGCCTAAACAGCTTTTGTTCGGCTGGATAGAGGGGGCTAAACGGGCGCGGCACGGGCAGGAGAAGAGATGGAGTGATGTGGTACAGGAGGACATGGAGCTGAGTGGACTTGCCGACGACTGGTACCAGCGGTGTCAAGTATGGCCTTGGTGGAGGAGGCTCGTGAAGGACGCTACTGGGCAGTTGGAGGCAGTTGCCCTCCAACAACAACGGAGGGCGGAGGAGCGACACTCACAACAATGAGCAGAGCGCCGGGTGGCTAAAGCACAGCAAGTTGGCATAGTAGGGGGCACAGGTGGTGCATCAGCCAGTCATCTCTGTCGACCCGGTAGCACCTGCTGGGTCTGCCCCGTGACCTCCTGCCAGCGGGCGTTCGACACTTCACGTGGCCTCAAGGTGCACATGGCCTGGCACAAGCGTCGTGGTGACGTCACCGCCACTTTGTGGTGAATGGCGGTTGTTGTTGTGTGTAAGTCGATGTGTGTGAGTCTATGTGTGTGCGAGTCGATATGTGTGTGTAACTCCATGTGTGTGTGTCTCAAGTCGATGTCTGTGTGTGTGAGTCCATATGTGTGTGAATGCGTGTAAGTCGATGTGTTTCTATGTGTGTGGGTCGATGTCTGTGTGTAAGTCCACATGTGTGTCTGCCTTTTTCGCCGGGTACTTACCACTAGTATGTTATAAAGGAGCCCTACTTAAAAAAAATATACATTTTAACTTGCACAGTAAAGTAATTGTATTTTTTCATTTCCTATACAGCCAGATAATACGACAAATCGCTAACCTCAAACACCCAGTCGTTCATAAAAGTTGAAGGCAGTCTAGAACTATAGTAATAGAGCAAGTACAGAATCACTGAACCGGAATTTATAGCTTGAAAGCATTTAACGCGGGGCCCCTTGAAGGTGCGGGGCCCATAAGCATGATACTTTTGCTACTAGGATAATCCGGCACTGGTAGTCATGCATCTTGCATAATCAACCAACCTCTCGCCTCCCAAAAAAATGTTAGATTGCAGGTGTGAGCCACCGTATCGTACATCTAATAACTATATTCTTAGCTCTTTCGGTAAAGTCACGTTGAAGGGAAACAATAAAATAATAATATATATAAAACTATAAATATATATTTTATTGTTTCCCTTCAACGTGACTTTACCGGAAGAGCTAAGAATATGAATTACTGCAGTCACGAAAGCTTTAAATCAAAATCTAATAACTATTTACTATCTTCTTGGTTCTTTCGGTAAAGTCACGTAGAATGGAAATAAAATAATAAAAATTAAACATAATAAAATTCTCACGACGTTTCGGCCACAACACAAGTAGCCTTCTTCAGGTGAAGGAACAGAACTGTCGGGACGACAGCGCTTCAATGAACGCTGCTAAGATTCGCAGCGTTTTATAAACTAGGTGGGAGAGGTAAAGCGCCTTGACAAAGGAGTTTACATATCAAACAGGAGAATTTAGCATTGAAATAGCTGTGTTAAAGTGTTGGATCAGCAGGGTGTTAAAGTCAGAAATTAGCATGCAACTGGGAGATTAACATGATGTTAATGTGAGGGATTAGCATGTGACTGGTCACAGAAATAGCTATGTTAAAGTCAAAGTTAACAAATCAACCGAGGCATTTAGTATATGGACGCTAAAGGACTGCAACTACCCAACTGTCATACAATAAACCGATATGAAAAAACTAAGTATAAACTACATCAATATAATAAATGTACTCAATATATTCTTCAATAAGTTGAGCTATTAACATAAAGTAACTGGGCATACACTACACTATATAATGAATACCATATAGTAAACTAATAAAAAACTAAAATATAAACTACATCAATGTTATCAATAAACTCTATATACTCTCCAATCAGCTGAGCTACTAACAATAAGCCGTTATACATTACAATGCCATATGGCGAAAAAATGTGTGGCGGTTTTTTTCTTTTCAACGTTAGCACCACGGAAAGCGACGAGCCCTGTTCAGAAGGACGAGTCCGTCCATGCTCGGAACGGATGAGGGGGGAGAAACAGCCACGATGCGCTGCTCTGTCCTGTGTTGCGCTACAACCATGCCATAAACTAGACTACTATACATTGTAATGTTATACCTTCCAATCTAAACTACATTGTATAATATCGTATACACAGCCCAATGTAAGCTCCAACATTATGCATTATATTGATATGTCTCCAACTAAACTTTTTTCTACATTACACGACTATACACCGTAATATACACTGCCATAGACAAACCCACCCTTGAATTATACAATGCGTTACTATACACTACCCTATACTTTAGACTGTAAAATATTAGACTTGTAATATTACACTATGTATTATTCTACCAACCCTACTGTATACCACACTGCTGTATATTCACTATACAATTACGATACTATATATTGCCTTATGAATTATGTTAAACATTACAATGTTATACTATTTATTATTATTATACAACATGCTATAAACTATACCATTGACCGTCGTGTGAAAGGTATTAAGAGGCAGTGCCAGGGAATGGACTGCGGTCTGAAAGTCACCATAAAATACAATCAATTAAGAACCGAAATGGTTTATAACATCTTTCCAATGGTTACTAAGCCAGAATCCATCTTCTCGGTTGAAATTGTCTCTGTGTTTGTATATGTGGATGGCCTCATGAACGATAGCCAGATGGCTTGCAGAGAACCTCCGTCTTGGAGAAGTCAATGTCATGTGAGCCCACTGAATTATAACTCTGATCTGCCACGGCTGAGGTGTTCGTCCTACCGTGTTTCAAGTCTGCTTTATGTTCACGGATGCGGTCCGACGTTCAGACCGCAGTCCATTCGCTGGCACTGCCTCTTCTTCAGGTGAAGGAACAGAACTGTCGGGACGACAGCCCGACAGTTCTGTTCCTTCACCTGAAGAAGGCTACTTGTGTTGTGACCGAAACGTCGTGATAATTTATTTTATTATGTTTTATTTTCATTATTTTATTTCCATTCTACGTGACTTTACCGAAAGAACCAAGAA